ATTAGAACTAATGAAATTTTGTGATTTTTTTTATTTAAAATATTGAATTCTAAAAAATAAAAAATTTTAACGGGGAGGGGCACCCGTTACCCGTCCCCGTCCCGGGGAAAAATTCACCCTCCGTCCCCGCCCCGAATATCCAATTAAGCGGGTTATCCCCACCCCGTTCGGGACGGAGCCCTGCGGGTATCGGGTTTGTCGAATTTTTTTGTCATCTCTACCCATTTGGCAAAAAGTTTATGAAGCTACTTCAAAAGCTCTTTTAATCCAAGTAATTTCAGAAAAGAGTAACACTAGTGGAAATTACACCCACACGTGTTTTTTAACTTTCCAATTCAAAAATAAGATTTCAAATTTTTTTTGTTCAAAATTCATATGATAATTCATCTTTTAAAGTACTAATAATAATATTGTACAATCGAATTAATTCACCTCATTCCATCCCACCTCCACCCCAACTCAATTTCACCAAACCATAAAATCACTTCCCCCCTCTTCCTCTCCCTCTTCTTCTCTCTGGCTACACCACCCCTAAGGCTACTCAACGCCACATCGAAGCCTGATTGCATGCAGCGGTACCTTGTTGCGGACATCGCATAGTGAGGCGGCACACTGCTGTTCGAATCGACAGAGCCATCTAGGTACTTTTTTTGGAGTTTTATTATCTGATCTACTTAGGGACGGCAAAAAAACCCAACAAATCCGATACCCACGAGCCCCGCCCCGAACGGGGCGGGGATTATCCTCTTAATTGGGTATTCTGGTCTAGGATGAGGCCAGGGATTTTGCTCCGGGGCGAGTTTAGGACGAGTAACGGGTGCCCCGCCTCGTTTAATTTTTAATTTTTTTTAAGAATTCAATATTTTAAATGGAAAATTTNTGCCCCGCCTCGTTTAATTTTTAATTTTTTTTAAGAATTCAATATTTTAAATGGAAAATTTCACGAAATTTCATTAGTTATAATAGAAAATTGCAACTAAAATTATCTACAAAATATGACAAACCATAAAAGTCTTAATTTACCAAATATATTTGAATAATTTAAATTTTTTTTAAAAAAGTAAAGATTAAAAAATATATTATTGTCTCAATCTAATGAATTAAGGTAATAAAATGAATTATAAAAAACTAAAAAAAAATAAAATTTTAATGGGGTAGTCAACGGGCAAGTCCCCCGCCTCACCTTAAACGGGTAATGGGGTGGGGCCGGAGAGGTTGCCTCGACCCCGGCCCGCCCCGTTGCCATCCTTAGATCTACTATGGATATTTTTTTTGTTGGTGATTTCTGAATAGATCTATTGTGGGTGGGTTGTTGTGGTTGTGCTAGGTAGTGAGGTGGTGGTGATGTGCGGCTATTGTTTTCTTTTTCTTGAAATTTCTATTCGTTGACCTATAATTGTCGTCGGTACAGTGGTCGTGACGTGCGATTGTTCCTTTTTTCCCCAAATTTTCTATTCGGTGACATATAATTGGCGATGGTGGTAGTTGTCGTGGCGTTGGTTTGTAGGTGGGATGGCGTGGGGTGGGTGGAGATGTTTATTACCAATGGGACATGCTATTTGTACATAGGTGTACACATAGTGGTTGACATAATGTGAGGGCCTACCCCACTCACATTATGTCATCCCCTATGGATCAATTTATGTGAACATAGATTAATCCTATTACCAATTATTTGGTTGATTGTGATCAATAAATTGATTAATTTGTGATAAATACTAATATGCGATTTATTTGAGATTGTGACCGATAAATTGGATATTTTGTGACTAATAAATAATGTGTGAACTAAAAATTTGAATCGCAATTTATAAAATTTGTGGTCGATAAATAAATTGTGGCCAATAAATTTTTGATTCGTAATCGATGAATAAATTATGACTTATAAAATTTTTAATTTTTGACTTACAAAATTTTTGATTCGTGATTGAAAAATAATTCGTGATAAATTAATTTGATAATTTGAAATCAAATAGTATAAAATTGTGATCTTAATGTATGTAATTAATAAAATATACTTTGAATTAATTATTTCATAGATAAAAAATTAATTAATATCTGATTTTTAAAGTTCTAAACATTATTTTTTAGTTTTGAAATCAATCATACATAATCTCTTAAATATGACATTTTCTCATAACTAGGTGTAAGTAACGTGCAATACACGTTTGTCTAATTTATATTTAATAGTTTTGTTTAAGAATTAATTTGTTATTAATAAAGATGTAATTTTTTTGGTTAATTAAATAATTAATGATGTAATTTTATGTAATTGATAAATAATTAGATGTGTGATTTTGATGTTGTGATGTAAGTTGGTGAGATAGAAGAAAATAAGTAAAAGTTGACAAATTTGGAGAAATGGCTAAATTGTAAGGGATTCAAAGTTCGGGAACTAAAATATAAATACTTAAAAGTTGTGCCGAACCTCACGATGAAGATTTGAGAGTGCTCGGAGTCAATTGGATAAAGGAAGACGTCAATGGAATCAAATTTAGTCATGAGATGATCACAAATCAATTTCCAACCGAAAAGTTATGCTCCGATGTTTTAGTCTCATATTGAGACCTATTTTTGGCATAAAAAGTGATCGAATTGGAGAATGATGTCTGAATCAAAGTTGTAGCCAGATGAGTTAGCTTTCCAACGCATTTTGAATCGCCTCAATCGGATATCGGAATACAAAGTTATGATAAAAACACTAAAGGAAGGTGCAACTGCTTGTTTAAAACAAGAAATTCCGTTACATAGTCCGTTAAAACAACAAATTCCGTTAGTTTTTCCGTTAAAAACAAGAAATTCCGTTAAATAGCCACTTTTAATATATAGAAGATACTATCTAACATGAGTGCTGTTAAGCATCATTCTAGGTGTAAGCATATTATAAATTTTATTAATTAAGTCATAAACCATTGTATTTAATTAAACATATAATTTAATGTCACAAATGTTATCATATAAATCGGTATTAAATACTAGTAATGCTAAAGTACTCTTTAAAAAATTATCTAAACATATTTAAAAATAGATTATGAATTTTAAAAGTAACTTTTAAATTTTCAAAAATCGTGTAAAACAGACGGATAATTTCAAAACAAGGGAAATTTATTGCACATTGTGGACATGAATAGAGTAATTAGTAGCGGTCTCACCTGACTCTCACTTTGGGTGCTTATATTTTCACTGAAGTTTCTTCCGGTGTACAAATTTTTTAATTGGATTAACCTTTTTTAATCTTTACTTATTGTTGTACTTGTAGATTTTTATTTTTATTTTTTTTTTCGCATTCTCATTCTCAATAAATTAATAGGAAGTGCTATGTGTACACAATAGTTTACACAATCTTTTACACCCCCCTCATATGAAGGGACACCAACATACAATAAAATATTTATGGAACCCCCTCCATGTGAGGAAGGTGTAAAATATTGTGTATACCACAAGGTGTACACATAGAATAATCCTAAATTAATATAGTTACGCCATCCCAGTACACTTGTAGAAAGGAAACCGTCGGCGAAGATGAGATACGGTAGGTAATGAAATTAAAAGGTTTGAGAGTATCCTATGTAGATTTTTAAGAATCTGTCGATGAACATGAACAGAGTAACTAAAGTATAACAAAATTTGAATTCCCTGTCTTGCTTGAAATAAAAAATGACGTAATTATTTAAGTATTTTTCAAATCGTACCACCATTGTGAATTTAATCCAATGAGAATCATCATAGCAACACCGCAAGCTTTTTAAGATTGTGAACAAGCACAAGATTCTACTTACAATACTCGTAATGTGGGTTGATAAAGAAAACAAAGATGCAACGAGAAATCATCTCTTCACTCCACTCGATTAACTCGAGACGAAGTGTCTATGATATCTGATTGAACTTACTCATCAAATAAAGGAACAAGAAATATACCACTGGAACATTTTTAAACATAACGCATTTCTTGATACAAACCAGATGGCCATCGACGGGCCTTATATATTTGCTTATAGAAGGCTGCAAGAACAGTCCCTACGTTCTGTCCAGAGTTCAAAGATTGATTTCTCGACCAAAAATCCAGCTGAAGGGGGCGGAAGATGCCTGCTTGACCTTTGATTGTGCCCGCTCCTCCAACCTTCGAATTCTAGGAGGCAAACCGCAAATGTAATCTTGTGCTTTACGCCCCTCTCCAGAAAGACCTGTCAACTTCTCAATATCCCACCTTCCGACTAAAAATTCCAAAATATCGGCATAGTCCTTGGCAGTATACACCCCTAGCCTCTGTGCTACAGAAGAGAAGTTCTCAAAGAGATTATCGTCCTGGCCATCATACATCAGATGAGCTGGCATAGAGACTTTCTTCCTCATCATGTCAGCAAGTGCCAACACAGTGCCATCAGGGTCAATCTCAAATAGCTTTTCGACAATTTTGGTATAAGCAGTTTCATGGCGCTTCTCGTCTGCCGCAATGATACCACATATCTGAGCCAATTTCAGGTCCCCATGTTCCTTGGCAAGCCTAGCTGTGTTTCCATGAGAAATGAAGGTAGCCCTCTCCTGGAAAGAAGTGTAGATAAATCCCAGGTAGGGATTGTTCTCCGTACGAGGATCCTATCAGTTAACACATGTATGTTAAATTATATCGCATAATGGAATCGTGGGCATTGGGAAAGTAAGATGATTTGGCAGACAAAGGAAAATAAAAAGGTGAAAAGAAAGAAATAAAGTGAATATTGTACATACCAAGATAAGTTATATTCGCTTTACAAACAAAATGGCAAATACATGGGTATATATTAGAACGTTAAATTGTAATACTTCTAAGTTCTAACCAAGCATGCACCAAATGGACAAGCATGCATGCCCAGGTATGCACACACATAGTCAAGAGGAAAAGAGGAGATAAATAGTTTCAGGAACTGCTAATGTCACTTTTACTAAAAGTGATCCTTTAGCCCTTGTTTGATACCCATTATTTTTAAAATACATTTTTATCTCTCTAATTTTCAACCACGCATTCTTCAATAAAATAATATTATGCCCAAACCCAAAACTTTTCCTTATTTTTTAAGGACACATTCTGCATCAAATCACTATTCTAAAATGCATTTTTGTCAAAAAAATGAGGTTCAAACAGGCTCATAATAAGCTTTAATTTTTCAGATCTATATAGTATGAAATATGATAAGTCACCAAGAAATTCAAGCAACAAGAAAGAGAGTTCGTTTGGCATCCAGGCATTCAGGGGTTTAATAAAAAATTTCAAAACCAATTAACTATCTCTGAGATAAAAGTAAACTTACCATCCCCGAACCGATCAGGTATTGAATTGTCTTTTCAATTTGCTTCAAGTCAACCCGTCCAGAAAGATAAAGATATTTGTTGAGAAGGTCACCATGCCTATTCTCTTCAGCTGTCCATGCTCGAGTCCAAATAGCCCATGGAGTAAGGCTAGCACCCGTCTCGTCTCGGACTCCGTCCAGGGTGTTAAGCATCGTCTGGTAAGTCGGAAGTGCTTCCTCCGTAATCATATCTCCAACCAACACAACAAAATAATCATCAGGAATTTCCTTGCATCTTTTCCGTAGTTCCGTGACCTGCTCGTAAAAGCCTTCCGAAGCGGGTTCGGGTAGAAAGTCACTGGGTTGCCAGCTTTTCTCAACATCCTTTAGGAGCACCAAGATATTCTCTTCTGCCCAATTGTTCAGAGAATTAAAGATCTCGCGCTTCTCTGGCTCTAAGGAATGGGTCACTTGAACATGTACCTCTCTTGGGGGTGTGAAAGGCTTTTTCACTTTTCCGGCCTCCCTGTATTCAACAGAATGTAGGATATAGACTGCATTTGACTAAAACGAGATGATAATCTGACAGTCCAAAAACAAAGAATTAAACAGCTCCATAAACTAAGAGTGATCATTTTTTTGCAAGGCACAAAGCTATAAATTTGCAAACTAGAGATATAATTACCTCGATTCATTAACCTACAATACTCTGTCCATTTAATCGTACAAATTAACTTTAACAAATCCAGGTACTGAAGGCAGGTGCGCTTAATCACTATAGGGAAGTCGTGTTCTCCACGATTTTGTCCAACACCGAGCACCATATAATTACGTGAATAGCAATAATTGAAGGACTTAATTTGCAAGCTCTTAGGTGTCCAAAGATTAAAACCAACTAGCACTCAGAATTATTTTGGAACATTATATCACTGATGTTGTAGATAAATCATTATCTAGACTACAATATTACGTATGAGTTCACACAATTAATTCATAAGATTCAATTTAATAAAAGATGAAAATGAACATGTTCCAAATTTCACGCACTTCAACTTGTGATGAATCACTGTAATTTCTCTTTTTTCTTTCTTTTACTTTTTCCCTCTCCCTTCCTTTCTGAAGAGAAGGTGTCGATATGAGGTAGGGCTGGAGTGTAGAGAAGGAAAAACAAATATAGGTAGAAATTTAGAAACGTGACAGAAAATAACAGAGTCCAATCAAGGAAGAACTGTACAAACTAGACCAACAACCTCTTTAAATAGAGAAATAAGAGTCAAAAATATAGGTAGAAAATGTTGAAGCCAGCAAATCTTAAGACATTTAAAGATTCCATGATTCTAACCAACCTTTCAATATTCATATTAAAGACCACCAAGAAGGGTTACAAGTTAGGGAAGTTTGATAATCATTCGAGATATTCCTTTAATCAATTAAAATTGGCAGAAGAAATGTAACCATTTTCTTTAATCCGTTATTGTCCATTATACTATATAGTACGATCTAATATTGCATACAAATATGCAGTTTAGAATGTTTAAGAAATGAAAAAAGCTACAATCTTGTTCTTATACCGTCCAATTCGGACCGTTATTGTTTACAAAAGATGTACCATATGCTGTAAAAACTCCACATTGTAGCTGAAACCACCTCAAGCACACAGAACTAAAAAATATAAGAGATTATAACAAAACAACAGTAAATCAAAAGCAGTCAAACCTAATTGTTGAACAATAATACGTATTCTCAAAGAAAGGGTCAGAAATATTTTTTAGATAAATCCAAGGGTACAATGAGATCATCTAGGACAAGTCCAATAAACAAACAAAAAATGACATGCATGATACAAAACCCCCCACCCCACCCCACCCCACAAATAAATTGATCAAATAACCAAAAAACTACTCATCAATTAATCCCCAAATCAGTTTAACCAGTAGAAGTGCCGAAAAAAAATTAATTTTCGTACGTAATTTAATGAAAGGAAGAAGAAAAATAATCTCCAGCCCGGAAATTATTTAAAAGGTATACTTGAAATACAGTTTATACATTGAATTTAGTCGAACGCGAGGAACGCCGAACTTGAATTCTTGAAATGCCAACATAAATAAGAATAGCTTTAAACCCAGATCAGAATATTAGTAACAAGAAATAAAAGTCCCATCTTGATTGAACCCACTTCATTTTTATGGAAGAAAAAGACAAATACCGCCCCAAAAAAAAAAAAAAAGAATAAGGAAAATTACAGTCAGTGGCACCAATCTATTTCAAAAAATGCCAATTTTTTTATCATTCATATCCAAAATTAAAATTATAAGGAAAACTTACATAGAAGGAGAATGAATAGTTGAAGCCATGAGAACCCTGTGAGATCTGATACGAGCATCAGGAAAGGAAGGCATCTTGTGAGGCGTGAAGCTAAGTTTCAGTGCCATTTTTTTCCAAGTTATTGAGCTCAATTAGAATCAGAAAATTTGTTGCTGGATTCAATAGGAGCAAAAGGCAGGCGGGCAAAGGAAGGAAAGAAGGAAGAAACGGTGGGCACAAGTGAAGGGTGCAGAGATACAGACGCACTAAAATAAGGCAATGAGGTGTTGGAAAGACAAAACCGATTCAATAAATGCCCACAGTTTTCAGGTAAATTGAAATTTGATTGGCGTTTTACAATTGGGCGATGGTTCCTATGAAGAGAAGAACAAATGGGTCCTTCCAGTGAGGTACAATGGAGTGAAGCACAACTGTGTTGGGTCAAGTTTTGGACTAGAATTTGAGAGTTTGTTTGGTAGAGATTTTTGGGGGAAGAATTGATTTTTGAATAGTGATATGATAGAAAATGTGTGGTTGAAAAAGAAGAAAAAAGTATTGATGTGATGGAAAATATTATTTTATTGAAGAATGTGTGGTTGAAAATGAGAATTGATTTACTGTAGAAAATGAAAAGCTGTACCAAACAGGCCCATTGAATAGTGATATGATGGGAAATGTGTGGTTGAAAAAGAAGAAAAAAGTATTGATGTGATGGAAAATATTATTTTATTGAAAAATGTGTGGTTGAAAATGAGAATTGATTTACTGTAAAAAATGAGAATTTGTACCAAACAGGCTCTTAGTGGATTGGTCAAATTTCATTCGAGTCATAATGGTTATGATTGACACTTGACTAGGTAGAATCAAATCGCTTTAGATTTAAAAAAAAAAAATTATCTCAAATTTGAAATTGTTGTACAATTGAACCTAGACATATCCCCATTTGGAGAAGCTAATTTGTACTACTTTGTTATGATGCCCTTTCAACGTGTTTAATTTACGTAGAACATTGTGTCACCATACGAACGTGTCTAGATTAGTTTTAAATGTTAATTTTACTTCGAGAAAGGGAAATTTGCATGATTATAGCAAATTAGATTCCAATAATCGAACGAATTGATCAAGAATAGTTTAAGTCGGTTGGTTGATTGATATTTCACGAGTTCTATAGTAACGAGAATTTGAGACTCACTCACGGTCCAACTTTATAAATCAATAAGTTTTAGACTCTCTCAATTTGAGAAATGTGATTCCACGGTTTGAACTCGATATATTCTTTAAATGGTTTGTTGATCTCTAAACTTTAAATTTAAGAAGTTGGTCACTAATCTTATATTATAGTCCAAGTTTGGTGTCCACTTGTTTAAAATTCTTTTTGCTACGTGATTATTTTTTAATCATATATTTACACAATAAAATATTATTCACTTAAACTCAAATTTTTTCCATACTTTTTAACCACGTATTCTATAGTTGCATATTATATCATCGGCGATAAAAAATGTTAAAAAAAACTAAAAAAATATTACATGGCACTCACGTGTCCACATGTCCAACTTTATAAATCAATATAGTGTTTTTTTTTTTAACGTGTAGATCTTATCTTACATCATTTGTGATATTGTGCAACGTGTCGACACGTGATTGGATAATTTTAGAAAATAAAATACTTTCTCGTCCAACACTTTTTGAATTACCACACAATATCAATCTAACCTATGAAAGTTATTTAATATATTAAATTAACATATTCAACTTGACAGGGGATTCACTATTTGTCTCCCTAAATCAACATCTCACATTAACTAACATCAATTTGCTGTATATTTTTGGTTTGAAGGGAATTGAGGATTGAATTCAGGACAAATCGTCAAATAATTAATATTGTACGTTCATATCGAGTTCTATTGCAGTTAACTTACGTTTAACGTTTCGACTTGCATGTAACGCGGGTAACAATTTTAATTTTTTTTTTTCATAATCTTTTTAAAAGGAAAACCAAAATTTCACTTTCTAGTTCCCTAACTTGAAATGAGTTTCTGGGGATTGCTCGTTGGACCATAGTCCTATACTGAAAAGAACTCATGGGCCAGAGTAAGTTGGGTTTTGAAAGAAACAGCCTAACCTACTTTGACATCTGTCCAATTTAGGGGGAAAATCATATATTACCAAGTAAATAATAATAATTCAGTAAATACCGAACAATTGGTGACATATGGGATATATAAAGATGCATATTATTCAATTTTTAAATAGGATTTTGCAACGTGTCGAGAACTTTACTTCTCGTGCTTACATTCAAGGGACATGGAAAGAAGGACACATGGCATTCATGTCCTCTCTAGTCAAGAACCGTACATTCTATGTTTAGATATAAAAAAGATTATATGTTCTAAATTTTTTAAGTAACAACTGTTATGAACCAATCCAAATACCAGAATCGCTCTGAAACCACTTATTTAGAACCCAGCTAAATAATTGAAGACGAGAATAATATGGGCAATATGAAAATAAAGGATCGCACAACAACCAAGATTTTTGTGAAATATGAGAATTTATTATACCAAAAAATTAAAATTGTCTTTACAAGATTTGATTCTCTCAATTTAAATTTAAACAATTCTCTCAAGATTCTATTGTATAAAACAATGATCTAATTGTTATCTTTTGAGTCTATATAGAACCTACACCTTGTGGAGTATTTATAGTAGCCAAATATTGGAGTTATGGATGAAATATAACACAAAATTGCGTAAGAAATCAAACAGGATTAAAATTCTTGCCGCATAGGCAACGCCTCGGTGCCTTATTTTGTTCTTCTTCACTCTGCCAGCGACGTGGCGCCGCGTCCCAGCACTCCAGCGCCCCCAATTCTGTTCCAATGCGTCCAAAACACTTCCTAATCCATTCCAAAGTCCTTATTTCTATCAAACTTTCAATCCATGATAAAATTTGACCCCTTTTCAAACATCACTTCTAATCCAAGATTATCTCGACTTCCTCTATGAATCAAAATTCCAAATCATATGGAATTTGAGTCACAAACATAACAAACTCCACATCGACACAAATTTCATATAAATGAATTAAGTCTTCAATCTTCAAGTCATTCTCCAACTCTTTCACTTTGTCTCCTTCGAACACCCCGTGCCCCTACCAAACATACTCAGCAAGTGTGAATTAAATTCAAGCACTGCTTACCAGGCTTACACCACTGTGTTACGATAAGTCGATAACGAAACTGAATAGTCGTGCCACAGTAATTTCTGTACAGCAGTTGATGAAATGTGGTGGCCATGCAGAATGGGTAAATGCAGTACAGCCTACTTACCAAGTAGAGGCATCCTCTATAGCATGATCACTAGGGAAGAAATTAAATTTAGCACACAGAAGCATATTAAATAAAAAGAGGAAATTAGATGGAGTGGTCACTTTTTTGTTTTTTTCTAAATAGTATCTTTTTTTTTTTTATCCATTCATCTAAATATACTTCTTTCTCTTTTCAAGTGTTACAAAAAATTCATGAATTTTATCTAAACGTTTTAATCTATTTAGACACTCTAGTCTACCTCATCGATATAAACAATATATTTTATATTGAAGAATCTCATCAACTTTGTCTAATTTGAGAGACCGAAATGACACTATAGTTATTTTGCATGATCCGATCGAACATTTCTTTTAAAGAATTTACACCTGTTAAAAAACAAGTTTTCTTTTAGGCGAAATGCACAGCACAAACTTTCGAACAATTTTGCCTAACTATTAATAGTAAAGCCACTCAAATGGGCTTTGTTGACAGGGTTTGGAAACTAACGTGACGTGACAGATTGTGATTCGCCTGTTTTATTTTAAAAATTTTCATCTTCCAATGAATTCCTTCCAATTGTGTCTGTCAAAAAAAGCCTGTCAATATTCCCTGTTTTTCTAGCATAACTCAACTATTAATTACACACCCCTTTTGTATCTTCGCTCTCTAGATAGAGCGAGGCATGACAAACCACTTGATAGTTATGTTTAATGAAAAATAGCCATCTAATACAAATAGCCCGTTTAATTCGTACGGCTTGTGTGAAGTCAAAAAAAGTTTTTCAAAAATTTGTTTTGAACTCGTTTGATTAATTTTACAAAAATATTTCTTTTCGTTAGAAGGGTTTTTGGAGGAAGATAACCAAAATTTCCTCTACTTCTTTCAAAAGATAACTTTTTTTTTAAGAAACTATTATCCAAACACTAATTAAGCCGTTGTTTGATTCCCATTATTTTCAAAATATATTTTTTTCTCTCTACTTTTTAACTATACATTTTTTAATAAAATAATATTACATGCAAATCCAACATTTTTCCTTATTTTTTAACCACACATTCTCCGTCAATCTACTATTCCAAAATATTTTTTTTTTACAATAAAATGGGGCTCAATAGTTTCTTTATAAAGTTTTTTCTACAAAAAAAATAAGTAAAAGTGAAAATCCTGTCAAATGGGTTCTAACTCAAGAAAAATGTTAGAAGGCTTAAGTTTGTAGGGTAAGATAATTATGGCTATATATCTTTGAAAAACATAAAATTTTCTTATATATTGTTATAAATAGAGAAAAAATATTGTGACCCGGTTTTTAAGGGTAATCTAGCGATTCATTGTTGTCCTCGTTCCAATATTATTATTTTCCTGTCAATCTTGTTTCATTATCACGATGATATTTTCTTATCTTTATGCGGCCATTGTCATTCTCTTCATAACTCATGTATGGAAAAGCAATAGAAATTCAATTTTTCGTGTGTTGTAGTATATTAATATTGCGTTGAAAATAGCAAGGAAATGGTTGGCGTTTATCCCGAGAGTTTAGAGTCCTAGACTAACAAGGTCCATATCCAAACCACGTGCCCAAATTATTGTAGGGGTTACATATCCTACGAAAATTAAGTTGCCTTTACAGAATAAATACACCACAATTCCCACAAAAAAGAGCAAGAAATTGCAAACATTACAACTTGAATAAGCATGGAAACCCTTTATCAAGAATACCATTATCCTGCCATCCAAGACCTCAAGGTCACAATCCAAGACTCAACCCTTGTGTTTCCCTCCCAAGAAACTGATAAAAAATCCATTTTCTTATCTAACTTAGACTTAGACCTACCTCTCAATTTCAATGTCGAAACAGTCCATTTCTTCAGCCCCGACATGGATTTCCCTCCACAACTTGCGGCCAATAAGCTCAAATTTGCACTAGAAAAAGTTCTGGTAACACATGATTTCTTGGTTGGAAGGTTGAAATTGAACAGCAAGACGGGGCAGTTGGAAATCGACTGCAATGCATCCAGTGTTGGCTTCGTAGTGGCTACTTCTTTGTTGGCACTTGATGAGATTGGGGACTCGGACTATCCAAATCCAGCATTTAGGCAGCTTATTGTCCAAAGCTTGGAAAACTTAGGACCAAACGATCAGCCACTTTGCATCTTTCAGGTTTGCAATGAAGAACACGAAACCTCTTTTTTAATTATATTGCAAGTTGATAAGTGCATTTCGTACACTTATTTAAATAATGTCAAAACATGGATATTGGTTATTATTTGGATTGAATTGTGGCTAAATTTGTTGTTTATTCTATGTTTTAGGTTCACATCGATGAATACACAGAAATTGGATAAAATGAGCAAGAAAGGGATTTAATCGATGAAAAAAGAGAAGATGGGGACTAAAATGCAAATAATCAAAACTCAGTTCGGAGCGAGAAACGAAAGTCGAGAGTGCAATGATTAAATTGGACATGAAGAGAAGAGCTATAACTGGATAGAAGTAGAAAAGGAATGCAAAAATGAGCTTGTGGAAAGTTGAGAGGTCAAAACGCAATTGGCTCCAAACTCAGCCCTAAGGCGCGCGCCCTTGCCTGCGGCGAGGCGCGCGCCTCTCATCAAGGTAGCCTCGACTAAGACTGCTCGAGGCTGCCCTAACACCTATGGTGCGCGCCTTAGGTTACACTAGGCGCGCACTTCAAGGTAAACAGAGATAAAATTGTACTTTTCGTAATTTTTTTTGGTAATGTTTTATGGCACTTTTTTAGATAGAATATAAGGCAGAAATTCCGTGGCAATTAGGGAGAGCCGTATTTTGAGCAAAAAAAAAGAGAATTTACATTGAAGAAGACGGAATTCACATTTTGGATCCGATTTTTAAAGCTTGAAGCGAAGACTTCTAGATTTTCTTCATATTTATATGATTCAGGTGATGACTTCCTTTTATTTTCTTTGTATTCTTATATTAATAAGCTAGGCTAAGTTTAATTGTATTTGATGAATGATGAAACTCTTTGATTCTTAGTTTTTAATTCGAGACTTGTTATTTTTAATTTAATTCTCGCATTGTGATTCTATATACATGCTTATTCATAGTATTTTAATACTTGCGTACCATTAGGAGAATAAATTGCTTATTCAGAGTGTTGAAAAATTCACGATAGGTAGAACACTATTTATAGAACACATAAATAATAAGTATTAGGAATAATATTTATGAAGTGTGGAATCGTGTGTGATAATTCTAAATTTCAATACATAGTTGTCATATGAATGCGGACTAAGAATATGATCATGTCGTGATAAATATAGGTTTATTATATATCGAGAAAGAATAATAAATAAAGTAGAATTATCGATCGTCACAATTGGAAGGATTGAATTAATTATCACACGTTGAGAATTGAAATTAAGAGTCAATGAGTGCAATAGAAAAATTGAGTACATTCATCACGTTTAATTTAAACAAATATTCATTGCTCGCATAGTTATAAAATGTAGCTAGATATAACTCAACTTATTTCGTCACCATCACGGATTTATATATATCGAATACACTAAAATTAAGTTTTACTCCCAGTGCGACGATAACCCTCTCATCACGATTATTACTTGTACAACGATCCCGTACGCTTGCAGGATTATTTCGTAACACAAGTCTTGAATCAAATCGATTACCTTGTGATCACAAAAAAAATCACTTTTAACAATAATTTTTTTTTTCATGAAAAGTCATTTATGAGTTGATTGGTCGAGAAAGGGTTGACAAGAAAGTTTTCGAAGGCAAATTATTTTTGTGAAATTTCTTGTAGTTGTCTGAAATGGAATATATTATATATACGTTCCTCCTCTTCGTCACTACTTGATTTCTCTTCTCTTATCCGACAACATAATCACACACACAATCCTCAAAACGTCAAATTCTATGGTTACAATAATTTTGATCGGAATTCGAAATATGATAGCTTGATTAATTTCCATTTTATTTGCAGGTTACATCCTTTAAATGTGGGATTAATTGTCATTTTATTTGCAGGTTACATCCTTTAAATGTGGAGGTTTTGCAATGAGCATATCGACTAATCATGTTTTGTTTGATGGAATGGGCTTCGTAATCTTCTTACGAAACCTTGCTTCCCAAGCTTTTGATGATAAACCCTTGGCTATTGTTCCATTCAAAGATCGATGCCTCCTGGCTGCCAGATCACCATCGCGTGTCACATTCACGCATCCCGAGCTTCACAAACTCGATATTCCAATCGATGTCGAACGTCCAAGCTCTCAAAATCTTCAGACTAAGCTCCAATGATATAAGTTACTTGAAAAACAAGGCTAAGGCCAATGGAACTAGACCAAGTACAAGGATGACCAGCTTCAACGTAGTCACCGCTCTCATATGGCGGTTCAAGGCCTTGTCACGCAACGTAGAGAACAATAAAGAAAGGGTCTCAACTTTGCTTTATGCAGTCGATATAAGGTCAAGGTTGAAGCCACCATTGCCACCTTCGTACTGTGGCAATGCAACTCTGAGTGCTTATATTGTTGGATAATTTCAATATATATGGGGCTACACGTTATATATTGAAATGTGTGATGCTATTATTTAAAGGATATTAGTCAACTAAAGTGGTCCGATAAAGATGTATTGTGACTAATGGGTGTTAGATTTCATGAAATTATAGTGTAGAGATCGGAGTGTTTTTTTAAATTGATGATGAGCCAATTTGAAGCAACTGAAAGATAGTGACTATTGAGTTATTACTATTATTTTATATGGTTATGGTCCCCATTTGTTGGCGTTCTTCAAATTTTTTTACATCCCCATCAATAGAGAGCAAAAAGCTAAGGGAAGATCACCAATCATTTGAAAGATTCTAACCTATCCAGGAAAAGAATCGGATTATCATGGATCAAGGTATGTTTTTATGTTTTGTTATTTTTTCGAATTTCAACATGGAGATGAATCTATGGTTATATTATTGAGAATTAAGGATTTGATTATTGTTTTTATCGATAATCCTATTATGTTTTTCTGTCATATGCATTAGCCAAGTGTGGGGAGATAGAGGAAAAGCCTCTCTTTGAGCTCGTGGATATGGTTTCCGAGGGTGCTGCAAGAATGACAGACGAGTATGTGAGGTCTTCTATCGACTGGCATGAGAATTATAGAGGGTTTCTCAATGGGGAGTTTCTGATTTCTTCATGGTGGAGATTAGGGTTTTCTGAAGTGGAATACCCATGGGGCAAGCCAAGGCACAGTTGCCCCCTGCTGCAGAGCAAGAAGGATATCATTTTGTTCCTCACTAAGATCATCAATAATGGTGTAAGTGTTTGGGTTGCATTGCCTGCTAAAGAGATGGAGAAGTTCCAATCCCTCTTCCATAGGTTTTTGGAAAGATCTATCTAAGCATGACATTGTTGATATGTAGCAAATGATCGATAAGTTCGAACTCTACAATCGAATAAATCTAGCCCCTGTTTGGTGTCCATTGTTCTAACTCTTTTTGTAACATGATCATTTTCAATCACATACACACAATAAAATATTATGAAGGTAAACTCAAAATTTTCCCTACTATTTAACCACGCATTCTTCTAAAAATACTATTCAAATTTTTATTTTTATTTTTATTTTTTGAAATAATGGACACCAAACCGGGGCTTAAACTTTTTCCTAACAACCTTAGTTTCTTGAAGTGCGACAATAAATTAATAAATGCTGAAAACCTTTGTCCATGTTTAGAGTGGCTTAAACGTTTGATAAAAATAGTAACATAATTAATTTTAACTATATATTTCATAAAAAATTACAATTTTTATAAAAAAATTTCAACCACATATTTCATTAACTTATATCAAAATCTACTAAAACTAATTTTTAGCTACACACAAGGGCTTAATTAATAAAATCGAAAAGGATAGGAAAAATAAAATAAAAATAAAAATTATGATGATAGTATTACCTCTTTCACCTAAACTATATACTTTGAAATTAGGGACAAATATTTTATCGAACTTTCATTTTTTCTTTTGCTTATTTAACAATATGATGGGCAAATAAATTAAAGTCGTCCTAAAATACTTTTTGAAAAGAAAAAATTAAGTGCTTGTTTGGTAGGGATTTTTGGGGGAAGAATTGATTTTCGAATAGTGATATGATGAGAAATGTGTGGTTGAAAAAAAGAAAAATTATTGATGTGATGGAAAATATTATTTTATTGAAAAATGTGTGATTGAAAATGAGAATTGATTTACTGTAGAATTTGAGAATAAAAAACAAACAGGCCCTAAGAGAGATTTTGACACCCATTAATTTTTTTAATTATTTCTCATTTTTAATTATAATTACACATTCTCCAAATAAAATAATATTACACACAAATCTAATGCTTTTCATTACTTTTCAATCACACATTCTTCCAAAATTTATAATTTCCCAAAAATGGGTGTCAAACACATGCTAATTATATATAAATATTATAGTAAATAAATACTATAAACCTATCGCAAAATTAAATTGTGGTGCATCGAACAAAAAATGTTGTAACAATAAACCATCCTTATATTCAAG